TTCGAAAAATATTTTCCAGGCTTGACCTCCGTGGTCGCAAATTCTGCTTCTTTCACTTACGAACGGACAATGAAATTTTAATCATCCTGATAATTTTGGCGTGCTTTCGTACTACTTTTGATTAGAATCACAAATTCGGCTAAATTTTATTTTTTTTCTCTGTAAGCGATAGTCACCAAAGCTGAAAATTTATGTTCCTGAGATCGGAACTTGACATTACCTCCTATCTGAATAATAAACACTTATTGGTCTGTATATATTTCACTAGGAATAACATTTGAATAAATTTATCTAGATGATTGTGCACGAAAAACGCAAATTAGGGTGTAGTTTGTCTTATATTAGTAAGTCTTATTTTCGTATTTAATTCGTTTTAACACCAGTCCATTGATTTATAATTTTTTGATCAGAAACGTTAGGTTCAGTTCACAGTATTACATGTACATGCTGACACTGTAGCAAGTGCATGATAGCATTGTACATTAATACATGATAAGCACTGCATTTATCGTGCACGATTGAAAACTATCCACACGGCTTTCTCAGTGAGACTCGTCAATGGCTGTATTGCCGTTGTTATGAGGCTTGTATAGTATCAAGCTATTAGAATAACTTGCTTCAACACTCGGGTTCAACTCCACTTCCTGTCGCGTTTGATATTGATCGTTTCTCATCTGATACCGGAAATCACGTTTACTTGTCATCGATAATAGAATTTCATTACAAATTTAATGCTAATATATTGATCATTTATGTACCACTCATTTTCCTTTATTTTCGGGCATTTCAGTAGCTTGTATGTTCATTGTTCGTGTTATATTTTGAGTACTTATATTATTTTGAAAACCTTTCCTGTTAATCGACAATTTAGTTGGATTTTCTGAACTATGAAAACAGTAACTCTCCGACTTATTGATAAATTCTAACTTTTGCAATTCTCAAAGAGCTTGTAGATTTTGTTTTGTACTTTAACGCTTAATCAGGACTGATTAAGAGGTTTAACGTCAAGGATACTCCTTCACAGCTAATTTATCTAATTATTTTATAGTTCTCTCTCTAGCTTTATCTATGAATTGAAGAAATAGGTGACCCATTAGAGAAATAGGTGACCTAAATATAGCTTGTGCTTGATACAAGTAACTTGAGGTTGTAGGAATCTCAATGTAATCCGATGTTACCGGGCCGGCGTCCGCGACGAGACTAGAACACTTCAGCTCCTCGACCCTCTTATATACCTTGCGCTCCCTCGCTGCCCTCAGTGCAATGTCCACGGGGCCCGGCGCTTGCAAGGGGTCGCCTCTCTCATAAATATTGTTATTTTTGTTATATATATTTTTTATGTTATAATATATATTATTCATTGCATTGTATTATATTTGTATATATTTATTAATTCATTATTCGAACGTGTACATATAAACAAATTCTGTCGTCTAATGATATTTTTTTGCTAAATTTTTTTACTCGTTTCTTGTTCTATTTATTTCTGTCTATATTTTCTTATTGTGCTTCTACGATTATTTATTTCATTATATCGATAATTGTCTTGGATTCGTTATTATCATACTTCATTATCTGTTTCAAGACAGAATTGTGTTCGCCTTTAGTACAAAATGTACACTGTAATCACTACGGCTTCTCTTCCCGGTGTTGTAACGTATAAGGTCTGCCTGCTGCACATTTTTAATGATGCGAATTTTCGCTCGTGTTTCGAGTCAGTATCACGACTCAGCGGACTCAGTGAGGCTCGTGGTGAGTGAACTTGAACTTTATTTATTTATTCGGTGTTTAGTTATAGTTTACCAAACAATAGAATCAAAACCTGAATCGCGCATTATGTTGAATTTTTATTTTTTTTTTTTTTTTTTTTGTTGCTTCTTCAGTCTCTTTTTTTTCGGTACGCATCTCTGTCTCGATCGCGGGCTTCACTCAAAAAAATGTATGGTCCTTATTGTTCAAATAGTTCACATTTTGTGCACGTATCACTGATACGCTATTTTGCTGGCCCCAACAGGGTCAAGGTGGCCCAACACAAGGCTCAAAAGTGCATCGCTATTCGGACAAAATCTCATTTTTTATCTGAGTGTTCTGGCTGATGTGTCAAGACACACTATTAACGTTTCTTAATTTTGGCTGTGGACCATCTTTATATCACATGTTTATTCTCTGTTTGTTTTACACATGTTTATTATGTTATACATTCATGTCTATTTGCTTATTATCCATCACTTGCTTTGTATTATAGTACTCAGCTTCAGAGTTTATTCATCGTTTGCAATTTGACGGTTCAGTGCATGTGTTCTCAACGAGTCGCTTCAATGCGCTTATTAAACTTTCGTTTTAACAACTTGCATTCTCTTTGATTTGCGTTCCTGGACTAGCCAGAAACTCGTGCTGTGTTCGCTTCATTTTTCCTTGAGCAATGAACCTTTCAATAAACTTTCACGTTTGTTAGGATTGATGTAATGAATGTCAGTAAACCTTCACGTTTGTTAGGAATGATGTAATGAATGTCAGTAAACCTTCATGTTTGTTAGAAATGATTGTTCTTTTTGCTCGTCTTGGTGCGAGAAGTTGTGGCATGATCCATCTGCACTGAGTAGAGCTTGCAAAGCTGTTTTGAAGAATGACCAGAGATCGTCGTAGCAGAGAGGGATCATCGGGGCAGAGAGGGATCATCGGGCTGAGAGGGATCATCATGGCAGAGAGGGATCATTGGTGTAGAGAGGGATCATCGGGGCAGAGAGGGATCATTGGGGTAGAGAGGGATCATCGGGGCAGAGAGGGATCATCGGGCAGAGAGGGATCATCGGGACAGAGAGGGATCGTCGTAGCAGAGAGGGATCATCGGGCAGAGAGGGATCATCGGGCAGAGAGGGATCATCGGGGCAGAGAGGGATCATCGGGGCAGAGAGGGATCATCGGGGCAGAGAGTGAGGGATCATCGGGCAGAGAGGGATCATCGGGCAGAGAGGGATCATCGGGCAGAGAGGGATCATCGGGACAGAGAGGGATCGTCGTAGCAGAGAGGGATCCTCGTGGCAGAGAGAGGGATCATCGTGGCAGAGAGGGATTCTCGTGGCAGAGACAGGGATCATCGGGGCAGAGAGAGGGATCATCGTGGCAGAGAGAGACCATCGTGGCAGAGAGGTATTTTTCTCGTGACTGATATTCTTAGGTATTATTATGCGGCAAAAGGAAGATAGTTACCTCACTGGCATACAACCTTCTCCGAAGGGAATGCAAACTACCTCTTGCAACATATATCTCCCCTAAAATGGGAATTTACCAATTTTTCCCATTACATCTTTCCCTCCTATCTACGGGCAGTAGAATGTAGACTGTTCCCCCTCTCCCCCCAAAGAAAACTTAATTTAGCCTGTGCGGCAAACTCGTCCTTGACGGTTGACTGAAGCAATACCCCATTCCCTAGTCCCTTAATGTCAACGTGATCATCAGTAAAACTGCTACAAAACCCTTCCTCAAAAGGCAGCAGACTACCCCGTACACGTCCCATCCCCCAACTACCCGGACCCGTTCCATCCCTCAGCTGTACCCGTACCAGTTCCATCCCCCAACTGTGCCCGTACCCGTTCTACCCCCCAACTGTGCCCGTACCCGTTCTACCCCACAACTGTGCCCGTACCCGTTCTGCCCCCCAACTGTGCCTGTGCCCGTTTTACCCCCCAACTGTGCCCGTACCCGTTCTACCCAAAACTGTGCCCGTACCCGTTCCTTCCCCCAAAAGGAGCGGTAGCGTTGCTGAGCTCTAACTGCGGTGGAGGCCGAGGAGGGCAAGGTAGAGAGGGGAGCTTTTGGCTCTGAGCCAAGGAGTCCAGCTCTGTATAGGGGAGGAGGGCTGCAGTTGTGTCCTACAGCTGCTCCTTATTTCTATGCTGCAGTTGTGTCCTAGAGGACTCCTTATTTCAAGGCTGGATGCAGATGTATCCATCCTACAGCTGCTCCCAACTCGTCAATATCTCTTCGCCCTTACGAATAATGAGGGAAATTTGGTCTTATTAATTACCACCGAGGAACAAACGATAAATTCACCGAAATCTAATTTTTTAAATAAATATAATGACGTGCAATGCAGTAACATAGTACCTATATAATGACGTGCATGCAGTAACATTGTATATAATGACGTACACTGCAGTAACATTGTATATAATGACGTGCAATGCTGTAACATTGTATATAATGACGTGCAATGCAGTAACATTGTATATAATGACGTACACTGCAGTAACATTGTAAATAATGACGTGCAGAGCCGTAACATTGTATATAATGACTTCTAATGCAGTAACAGTGTATATAATGACGTGCAATGCAGTAACATTGTATATAATGACGTGCAAAGCCGTAACATTGTATATAATGACTTGTAATGCAGTAACATTGTATATAATGACGTACACTGCAGTAACATTGTATATAATGACGTACACTGCAGTAACATTGTATATAGTGACGTGCAATGCAGTAATCATAGTAAAACAGAACATCGTTCTCTGCATGTACGCTTACCACTAAACAGATGTACGTCTACATTACACGTGGCATCGAAACCTCGAGCTTCTAGAGTCAGAATTTGCATCGTCTATTTTACTGATGCATTTATTTGCGGCGAAAATAAATGTATTCGATGAATTGCAACACAACATTCACCATTACATTCTTGTGTACAGTTGTGTGCAATTATCAACTCTTTTCCCCTTATATACTCGAACTAATCAATCTAATATTCGATTATACTAATGTATAATCGTTGTATTATTATATGTATCTATGAAATTTTTTTCACTAAACCTCCAACAGAACCGGCCTGAATGTTATTGAAAGTTATTATTATTGTTAATGTTATTGTTATTATTCACTGTTATTATTGTTAACAACCTGAAGCTGTTATTCCATATTTAATGAATTCATTATACAACTTAAGTAATATTCATTTGCTGTTATGTAATTGGCATAAATTTTATTTATTTCTTCAGGGTTCCGGCTATCTCCGTCGAGCGAACACTGACGTCCTGCGAGAAATCTTCCACGAGGTCAGTTGCTATACGCGCGTATAGAAAATTTTGTAATAATTTAAAGGCGAGAAAATGTCGATTTAATTTAATCATATCTCCATTGATGAAGATATGATGAATTTATTTGTCTATTTTGGTGCACTTGAATATTTTATATGTTAAAAACTACATTTCGCTCAAATTTATGCACGTGTTGTAATTATTTTATCTAGGACTCTAATCGCTATATGATACTCGTGTATTACTATAAAATTCTTTATAATTTAAGTTACTTCTGTGCGTATCATCTAATTCTTCATGTTTTATTTCACTTGGGTAACTGTTGCATGCATAAATACCATCATCTTTGCCGGATTACCTTACTTATTGCGGAACAAAATTGTTATTTTTGCCTTATTGTTAATAGTGTGATGATCCAATTAGGTTGCAGTAACATGGCATATAATTGATTTGCAAAGATTTATGTAATTCCATCCTATGTAATAGTTATTATTAATTTTAAGAGTCCTTCGGTGAAATTATATCAGCTATATTCCCTATCATATTCCCTATCAATTTTAATCCATTTTCTACATTGTACGTGAAAAATATCTGTCGAGTCGAGAACGATCATCTATTGCTTGGCCAGACTTCTTGCTGAAATTCATCATTTTGATGAGTTTCATTAAGAAACTCATTAGGAATTATTAGACCACATAGTGAGCCCCATTCTTATTAAGAAGAATATTAATCTCCTAAGAGATAATTGCTTGTCAGTCCCTAGCCAAATCTCGTCTATCTTTATAGACGAGATTGGGTTCACACCACATACTGCCGGGCACGTGCCAGGCATATGCCAGTGACGGTCCAGTACAATATTCTTCAATGCATTTATATGCAAGCATTCACACCATGGGCATGTCAAGTGTCTTGCACGACGGTGTGAATGTTCGATGGAAATGCATTTGCAGTGGGAGCGAAAAGTATCTGACAGAAAGGAAAAAATTCATTTCAGTAAAGCTAATCCAATAAAATAACATAAACAAACACTACTTTAATGTTAATTTTCATGGGAAATACAAATATGTCAAAACAACAATGTCCTTAAATGTCTACTTGATAATTGCAATTTTGTAGAAGTTACGGTTAAAAATAACACCATGACAGGCATCTGCCTGGCACGTGCCCGGCAGTGCAGTATGGTGTGAACCCCTTAACAGCATCGCAATGGGCATTTTCCCTTATGCTACGACAAGTCTTGCACTTGTTATAAGAATCGAGTAATATGACCCGAGCATTCACGCATAATTTAGTCGCTTAACTATAATCGTCTACTTTCAAAAATTTTAACGGTTCAGTGCCAACGTTTTTGCTTGTGCTATTATAACCTTAATATGTCTATTTGCATGAATAATCAAATCATTTACATACAATCTGTTAATCACCATGGCAGGAACTTCAACCAAACTCTAGGTCCGTCACGTTCGTAACTCACTTTAATTTTTCCAGGCATATATTTCTCTCAGCCTAATGAGGATGTCATTAATTAAACTATTTTCTCGGGCTGACAAGCAGAAGTTATGCGTTGTTGTGCGCCAGGTGTTGTTGTCTCAGTTTTGCTGTATTTCTGTAACGACCAGACAGAGATAACATTTTTATTCTTACCGTGACGTTTTTAATATTGGACAATAAGAAGAAAATAATTCAAACGTGCGCTATGTACGCGGAGACTGCCATCCTTCAGCTGTTTTGTAGCGGTTTGTCGAGTTCCTTTATTTTATGGTGCTATATAAAAGATACAAGGGTATACATAATATATACAAGGGTATATATACAATATACCCTTGTATATACAAGGGTATACATACGTAACGGGGTATGCTTAGGAATGAAAATCTTACTTTTCAACTAGTGAGCTTTAAGTGTCGCTAAAATAAATATATTTTTAATCTGTGATGATTCAAGTAGCTTGTCGCTGAACACATTTAATTAGTTGAATATTTTAATTTATTACAATTAGTTTTGTCACAGTTATACTTATAAATCTCCCTCAACCGCGCTGGAATGAAATGCTGGTCAAGTAATCTTTACTTGATTCTTTTCTCTTGAGTTACCGTATATGCTTGTAATACGCCTGGTTTATAACCGTCACCGTTCCCTTCTCACCACCGTTCCCCTCTCACCACCGTTCCCCTCTCACCTCCGTTCCCCTCTCACCACCGTTCCCCTCTCACCACCGTTCCCCTCTCACCACCGTTCCCCTCTCACCATTGTATATAATGACGTGCAATGCAGTAACATTGTATATAATGACGTACACTGCAGTAACATTGTAAATAATGACGTGCAGAGCCGTAACATTGTATATAATGACTTCTAATGCAGTAACAGTGTATATAATGACGTGCAATGCAGTAACATTGTATATAATGACGTGCAATGCATCAACATTGTATATCTGTCTCTTATACACATCTAGATGTGTATAAGAGACAGACCGTTCCCCTCTCACCACCGTTCCCCTCTCACCACCGTTCCCCTCGCATCACCGTTCCCCTCTCACCACCGTTCCCCCCTCTCACCACCGTTCCCCCCTCTCACCACCGTTCCCCCCTCACCACCGCCCCCCTCTCACCACCGTTCCCCTCTCACCACCGTTCCCCTCTCACCACCGTTCCCCTCTCACCACCGTTCCCCTCTCACCCCTCAAATAATAAGCGTCTCGTAATCTCGCTAAGCTTCACCTGCCAATAATGCTTCCACAAATTGATCGCTTCTCCAAAATTGACGTTTGGAGCTCCTGCAACCATGGAGACGAACGCAATATGGCGTGCGTGCCACGCTTGTTTATCATGGATTTTGCAGTATTTTTTCGAATTTCCTGACGTTTGTAGTTCAATTGTAAATATGTATTATTGCATTTTATTTATCGGTTCTGAATATCTCGAAGAAAAAATGAAATTTAATTTTTTTTACAAGTTTAAGACAATTTTAGAATTCAAGATCAATTTACAACTCTATTTTTAACTCGTATGATTAACTTATTTTCATTACAACGAACAGATTTTCATATCTGGCAGTCTACCTCCCTCACGGCTAGATCTCTTTCTTTGCTGTCTATTACTAAAGCTTCAGAACTCGGCCCATCGTAATAGCCTCAAACTTCAGCGACACGAAGTTTAAATCAAAACTTTTGTAGTTGAATATTACGGAGTTTCGTAACAATTTAGCTTGTCGTTGACATTTCGTGTCGGTTTTATCCCGATTATATGATCTACTAGGAGATTAGCCCGGCGTTGCTTGAAATCAATTATCCAACAATTTTCAAATCCCGTTATCAGAAGTCCCGTAAATATTGCTAGAGCTGATATATGCTAATTAAATGAATACCCGTTCAAGTCCGTATTTTGCAAAGAACCGGAGATCCCCAGTTGACTTTCGTTTAAACATATGAAAAGAAATATTGTATTGTACTATTGACTCTAATTTTAAAATCAAATTTCAATTTTTGATCCATGCCTGGATACCCGCCCCAACAGCCCTATGTTGCGGCGCCTTACTTCAAACAGCAAACAAACATTCTCTGTATAATATTTAGACGATTTTCGATGCCGTTGGAGAGTTGACCGATGCTCCAGCTCTGACGCCTCCATTGCTATATTCTTTCGTTATAAATATTGGTCAGCATTTTAATGAGCTGAATTTACTGCGTTTTGTCAGCTGGGTTGATGCAAGTTACTCACTATCGTTCTCTCCGATTAGTGCTCATAATTAATGGTGTGAAATCCCTGACCTGTTTTCTCGTCGTCTATTGCTCTTCGATGGCTTTCATGCACGTAGATAGATATGCTTCTATGACCTAATACTTTAATTATGTCAACTTCCATTACCATGAAATTGAAGTTCACGCACGCTATGCGTCGTCTGCACGCACGACGGCGTCTGCAATCAGAGAATAATAATTTTTGAACAGTTTTCCATAAAATTTAAATTAAGATAAATTGAAAAATTTAGTTTTTCTTCAAATTATTTATACGATTCTTTCATAACATCAGTACGCGTCTGCCAAGAGCTATGGTGAGAAGTTAATGACTGCGCACATCTTTGTCTGCGACCAAAGAATAATACTTTTAAAACAATGTTCTCATGTACCTTTTTCATATTATTCCAGTAACTTTCTCATACCATCAGTACGCTTATAGATCTAAAAACTTATTCCTATAACACTTTCATGCCATCAGTACGCTTATAGATCTTCTAAAAACGTATTTCTATAGCACTCTCATACCATGCAATTACATCACCCGGCAGTACGCGTCTGCGGAACGCTATGGCGAGAAGTTCATGACGGCGCACGACTTCGTCTGCAAGTTCCTCGGTCTGTACACGGAGCCAAATGCCAGCCTGGAGAGCATCAAGCTGCTGGGCGGTATCCTGGATACCAGCAAGGATGGCCTCATCTCGTTTGCTGAGTTCAGCGCCTTTGAAGGACTGCTGTGTGTGCCCGACGCGCTCTACCGCACCGCCTTCCAGCTCTTCGACACAACCGGCACTGGCTTCGTGACATATGGTGGGTAATTTGGGCACTAAATCTTAGTCATACTGGCATTAAGAGTTGGTCATGCGGACACTAAAGGTGTGTCAAACTGGCACTGAAGGTGGGTCATAGTGGCGCTGATCTTAGCTGATCTCGTACGCGGAGTTAAGCGCCTTCGAGGGACTTCTGTGTGTGCCTACCGCAACGCCTTCGAAAACACCGGCATAGGCTTTGTGACATATAGTGGGTCAATCTGGCTTTAAAAGTGGGTCATGTTGTCAATTACGTTGAGTCATCCTGTCACTTTCGGTGAGACATCATGTCATCTACGGTGGGTTCTTCTGTCACATATGCGGTGCATGGTTCTTCTCTCCGTTTCGTCACTTCCTTGCGTACGACTATATTACTCACGTACGGGGAGTAATATGAAGCTTGTTGGTGTAGTTTATTTCATCAGTAAGCTCGTTTCACTTCTTCGCTATCGCCATCACCGTTTTCGTCCTCAATGGCTGGCATTCCCTAGCTCATCTTTATAATTATAATTTTTTAGTTCGAACGTATTAATATTTTCTGTTAACTGCAGTAAAGCATATGACTGTACGGAAAGCTTGATTTGCTTCACAGTGCGAATGAGGTTTGTGTTTGCACTCTTTACTTGAATACAACAAATAATTCAGCTCCCTGATCTTCTTGATGATTTTCCCTGCATATTAGTGATGTATGTTTCATGTTATACATTCAATTTCAGACGAGTTCTGTGCGGTGATCAAGCACACGGTGCTGCACAAGAAAATCCCCTTCAACTTCCAGAGCGACTTCGTGAAAATGTACTTCGGTAAAGACTTCAAGCGGTCCGTCACTTACCACGAGTTCTCTCAGTTTCTTCACGTGAGTCGCTCAATACACCATGCATTATAATATATCAAATTCATATATGTAATGGTAAAAAATGTCCTTGCCATTAAATACGGTGTCAAAAATTCGTGTAAAATATGTTTCGTCAAAAATTCGTGTTTTGTAAAGAAAGAACTCCTAAGAAGTTTCATTTCCTGTATGAAATTTGTTCTGTTCAATTTTATTGGTTTTATCTTGGGTTCATATCTCAGTTATCTGAGTTTATCTTGGGTTCATATAAATTATTATGTTATTTGGAACATATCTTCTAATTACTTTAACATTGGTTTATTAATTTTATACTAAAAATTTTGTAATTTGGAGCAAATCTTGCAATTACTGTAACATCGTGTCACCTCTTTAATTCCTTTGGGTAACTTTTAAGGAAATCATCTTTATCAACACAGGTGCATCACCACCAGCTCCCCATTTTCGAAGCCTTTTCACAATTCCTCCTCATGCGATTGGTCACTTACAAAATTTCAATTCCCTATTACAGTAACCCCTTTAAAATATGAGGTTATTCTTATGTCAACTTTACTTTCTTTCTCGACTTGAAAAAAATGCCCGCACAATTCATTAAGTTATTCACTGTAAAGTTATTCACTGTAGACTTGGTGATTTGAATAATGTACTCAGGCGGTTTGCGTGCAAATACAACATCTTCATACTTATTACTTAAAGGTAGATTCCTTGCATGTATAGTACTTCTACTTGCTTATATCGTTATCACTCATGAGTATTGATGCTGCTTGGTATTTTCTAATCCTACCGTGATATCTAGCGTAATTTTTAGATCGGGGTAGCCGATTAGTTAGGAATCGGTTACATGCCAAAATAGCTTCATCAAAGCTGACACCACCATATTATATTATATTATTAGTATATTATATCATATTTTATCATTTGTTAAAAAAATTATTATAGTATTATAATATGTGTGTGTACGCGACAGGACTTCCACGAAGAGCACGCGATCCAAGCGTTCTCAGCGTACAACAAGGACGGCTCAGGCTTCATCACGGCGCTCGACTTCTCGGACATTATGTTGAGCACCAAGTCTCATCTGCTCACCAGCAGCGTTCAGGACAACCTTGTTGCCGTCAGTCATCTTATGTATTGTACTACTTCTATTGTACACATATATTGTACCATCTCTATTTTACCCATCTATTGTACCATCTCTATTGTTTTAGGGTACATTACGTTCAGGACAACCTTGTTGCCGTCTGTGCTGTTGTTTCGCCCCTTGTGTTCATTAGCCGTTATCAATGCTATTCGCACCTGAAGGTTTAGTACCTAACAAGAGTTACTGCGTAGAATGACGGGGGCGTGCCGTTGCCAAGCAAATTCTAATTGCAATATCGCCGTTATAAATTCTCATCAAAAGTATTAAATTTAAGTAGAAGCATCAGTTATCTAACATGTAGTTGGCGCGCTCAGGTATCGTCAGGGCAGAAGGTGAGCTACCCGTTCTTCATGGCGTTCAACTCGCTGCTCACCAACATGGAGCTCGTCAAGAGGATCTATCTCAACGCCACGCAGGGCTCACGCACCCAGGAGGTCACAAAAGGTGCGTGGATTTAGGGTTACAGGGTCAAATAAGGCCTTATCCACGCAGGGTTCACGCACTCAAACGTGGCAAAAGGTGCGTGGATGTAGGGTTTATAACTTATAATGTACAATGTAGTCGAACGCGACGCAGTAGTCACGCTTTCAAGGGCTAAAGAAGGCTCGTAGGGTTTAGGGTTAAAAGATTCAGATGAGCCTTATCCACGCATGGCTCACGCATGAATGTAGGAGGTTATCAAGGGTGCGTGGGGTTAAGAGTTGAAAGGTTCTGCGGGTTAAGTGGTTAAGAGGTTCAATAAAGTGCAACGGCCGCGCTAAGCTCCCACTCCCAAAGGGGCCACCAAGTTTAGTAGGGTTAAGGGTTAATATGTTCTATGGGTTAAGGTTTAAAAGCCTCAATGAGATCCAACGCCGCGATATCCCGCTCTCAATAGCTCGCTAAAGGTTTTTACCTGCAGTTCTGCCATATTGTTTCAGCGAGCAATCCTTCAGATTTTGCGTCTTCACTCAGTATGATTACTGTACGATTTATGGGCTATGAATTCCTCATATTTTCAAGTACGGTATGTATGAAATATACTTTCTTGTATGAAATTTTCTTAATACTTTAAATTATGTATTCCCAAACCAATATTTGGATAGGTTTGTGTTAATTTGGTATCATTTTCCTCGAAATTTTCCTAATTCGTGATCATTTAATTTAATTATTATTTTGTTTGATGTGCTAAGCCCGGGTGTATACCGCATTTTAGCAACTCAACTACAGAATGCGTCTTTGTTATCATGAAATTTATGAATTAATAATTAATTGGAAATTTGATTATGTCGTTGCAACGCTTATTTGGTTCACTGCCACTTTTTTGCAGTATTAATTAATTATTAAATAAAATATGTATCTATTCTGGATCATTATTTATGTCTTATGTCCCCTCATTAAGGACGTATATGAGAAATGATTGCAGTAGATCTATATTTTTGCTACATATTCTACACATATCAGACTGGTAAGATAGACGATTATAGATGTATACAACATAAATCCCAGTTGTTTATATTTTAAATCTTGAATTAGGTAATATATATATTTGCATATTTAACAGATGTATGCATCATAAATCTTAGTTTGTGATTTACGTTATCCCCTCGACTCTTATATTATACAATATTATCGATGTGATTTATATTACCTACAGATTTATTTTTGTGATTTGTAAATATTTTTGTGCTTTGTTTTGCATGTTCCAACAGAGGAGTTCCTACACTCGTCGCAGATGATGTCCCAGATCACCCCCATGGAGGTCGAGATCCTGTACCACCTCACTGAACTCATCAGCCAGAGCGGCGGGTCAGTCTTCATAGTTGATATCTGTATTCTCAACAGGCAAACTATGTTGAAACAACGTTGATTCAACAAAATAGCGTTTATTTCAATGTTGATTCGACGTCGTTTGCCTGGTGGGAGCTAGCTAGCTGCTACCGTTAGCCACTCTGTACCCTTACTTCCCTAATATGTGTATTATTTTGTATACAAATATACTTGTTGCCGGTTACATACGTCTGAGTGTTGGGCAAAGCGCTAATAATGCACGCAGTAAACGCGCGTTCTTACCGAATATTGAATTTCTCCATCAGTAAAGAATCGGTGGGAACTCTAAGAGTCTATCTTCCAAGAGAGAATGCGTGACATTTTACTAGAAAAAAAGGAACGCAAACGAGAATATTTACAATATTTGGTTGTATTCTACGATTCTAGAAGAAAATGCACCGTCCATTCCCTAAAATTTGCCAAAGAATTTAATGGAGGTGCATGTGAATGATTTTTCATAAAAAAAATAAAGAACAGTTTTTGATTTAAAATAAAAAACTGGGAGGCGCATGTTAGTGATTTTTAGAACCCATGTCACTAGATGGTCACTTAATTTCCTGAGATAGTAACATCCTGCCTGGCTGCATTTATACCGTGGCCACCCACACACACGTGTCACCAACACCCACCGTAATTGTATCACATGCACATCACACACGTCACTAACACCCGCCATAACTGCATCACACACATGCCACTAACACCCATCATAACTACGCCGCAACCGTATTACACACGTGTCACTAACACCCCCCATTACCTCGCCCCGCAGGCGCATCATCTACAGTGACCTGGAAGCCATTACCCCCGAGCAGTACATGAAGGTAATCACCCGCAAGCTGACGGACATCAAGGCCGTAGAGTCGCCCGAGCAGCGCTCCACCTTCACTGCCGTCCTGGAGAGCAGCTACAGGTTCACGCTCGGCGCTATTGCTGGAGGTCGGTTCCTTGCTTTACTTTGTTATTGTTTAATTATTCTGTTGTATATTCACTGTATCATGTAGTAATATTAGATATTATATTCACTACAATTTCCCTCGGCGCTATTGCTGGAGGTGGGTTCCTTTCATAACTTTCTTGCTTGCTAAATGCTAATTATTCTGTAATATGCCTATTCGCTGTATCATATGTTATTACATATTATATCCACTAAAATTCCTCTCGATATATCGACGAAGATATATCGATATATCGCGCTATTACTGGAGGTGAATTCCTTACTTTAATTTCTTGCTTGCTAATTATTCTGTTATATATTCACTGTATCATGAATTAATATTAGATTATATATTCACCAAAATTCCGTTTGTTACTGTATTGGGACGAAGTCTCACTAATTTATATGAGTGCGGGGTGCCTGCTCATCAGCATTTCTGTTTGGCAGGGCGTATAAGACTTTTCTTGAGCTCCTATTATTGTAATATTTATTATCATTAATGTAATGTTTGAATGTACAGGGTGCGGCGTGGGAACTTACTCTTTTAAAAAAATCACAAAGTAAAAAGTATTAAAGATAGCGTTTTAATTCTTTCTTTTTTACAAAGAGCTACATTTAAAGTTTCGTTGGGTTTACTTACAAGTTTAATTCTTGAATATTACATCTTGTAGGTGACCTCCATGCTGTTCAATACATTTTGTCAGTATAGCCCGCGCACCATATTGCGCATGGCGCCACCTTCCTAGGACTAATGGCCGCCACGTGGCGCGCAATTCAAATAAGTAAGTTCCCGCGCCGCACCCTGTATTATTTTTTTGGTCACAGCTGTTGGTGCAACGGCCGTGTACCCGATCGACCTGGTGAAGACGAGGCTGCAGAACCAGAGGGCGGGGTCCTACATCGGGGAGCTCATGTATAGAAACTCCTTCGATTGCTTCAAGAAAGTGAGGGCTCTGTAATTGCTTTCATTTGTTGCAGTTATCTACGGTTAAACCTCTAAAATATAATGAATTAATTAATTCGTAAATTAAAAAAGTAAAAGAATATGTATAATTTATTCTATACGGTTTACTGATCTGATTCTTTTGATTGTAGTGGCCGCCATTACCGCGGTATAACTCGTATATTATATTCTCATAAGTTATATCTCATATTGTCATGTGTCATATCTCATATTGTCATATCTCATACGGTATCTAATATATCACGGCACTGCAGGTAGTTCGTCACGAGGGCGCCATAGGCCTATACCGCACATCTCATATTATCATATGTCATATCCCATATTATCATATGTCGTTATGTCGTCATCTCATATGTGACCTGAACTTGCAGGTAGTTCGCCACGAGGGCGCCATAGGCCTGTACCGCGGCCTAGTGCCCCAGCTGGTGGGGGTGGCCCCAGAGAAGGCCATCAAGCTCACCATGAACGACCTCATGCGCGACCTGCTCAGGGACAAGAAGGGCAACCTCACCCTGCCTGCCGAGATGATAGCTGGCGGAGTTGTTAGTTTCTTTATTATTATTATTATTATTATTATTCATCTATTATTTTTATTATTATTATTATTATTCACATTTAATCTATTATTATTTTATTATTCATTTATCATTATTATTACCAATATTATTGTCAGTAATTATTTTAATTTAATTTATTGTCTTGGGCTCATGTTTTGGTTGCATGGCTGACGTCTCGTGTATTTTCTATGTGGCTGGCGTGGTCAATAATATAATATATTATTGGCCATATATATATGAATATACTGGTGTGGTGTGGTGTAGTTCTTCTAACCTATACGCAAATGATATTTTCTCGATAAAATCATGGCAAACACGAGCTTGGCATTGTATATCTTTATAAAATGTTGTAATAGCCAAACAGGTACACAAATTTGACGTCGTGTTTATGACAGTTATTTTTTTTAATTTTTAATTTCCTAATTTAATTCTTAAAGCTAATTTTTCGTGTTCACGGCAGGAAATTTTATTGTATTTTTAATTTTTAAATTTGATTCTTAGAATTAATTTTTCGTGTTTACAGCGGTTAATTTTTATTTTTTTTCATTTTTAAGGTTAATTTTTCATGTTTACAGCGGTTAATTTTTTTTTAATTTTTACATTTAATTTCTAAACTTAATTTTTCGTGTTCACGGCGGTTAATTTGGTGTGCAGGCCGGCGGATCTCAGGTGATCTTCACCAACCCCCTGGAGATCGTGAAGATCCGCCTCCAGGTGGCGGGCGAGCTGGCGCTGGGGCAGAAGATCGGCGCGGTCTCCGTCGTGAAGGAACTCGGCTTCTTGGGTCTATACAAGGTGCTTAACTGGGGTCTATACAAGGTGGTTAACTGAGGTCTATACAAGGTGGTTAACTGGGGTCTATACAAGGTGGTTAACTTGGGTCTATACAAGGTGGTTAACTGGGGTCTATACAGGGTGGTTAACTTGGGTCTATACAAGGTGGTTAACTGGGGTCTATACAGGGTGGTTAACTTGGGTCTATACAAGGTGGTTAACTGGCTTGGGTCTATACAAGGTGGTTAACTGGGGTCTATACAGGGTGGTTAACTTGGGTCTATACAAGGTGGTTAACTTGGCTGCTTGGGTCTATACAAGGTGGTTAACTGGGGTCTATACATAGGTGGTTAACTGGGCTTCTTGGGTCTATACCAGGTGGTTAACTGGGCTTCTTGGGTCTATACAAGGTGGTTAACTGGGCTTCTTGGGTCTATACAAGGTGGTTAACTGGGGTCTACAAGGTGGTTAACTTGGGTCTATACAAGGTGGTTAACGTGGCTGTTTGGGTCTATGCAAGGTGGTTAACTTGGGTCTATACAAGGTGTGTAAATTGGCTGCTTGGGTCTATACAAGGTTCACAGAGCATTGCAATTTTAAATGCCTATCTTCCAAATTATAGAATTTAGGGGCTAACTGTATATGGGGAATGTATAACTTGCTGGGACACTTCACGAGAGGGAGGCATATAATCTTATGGCCTTAAAATGTTGTATGATTGAGCATTTGCACACATTATGGAGTAACGTTTACAACACTTTTTCATACGTCGTCGGTTATAGTGTGAAATAGATTGACAGTCAAAATGTGTTTGCATGACTGATATTCTTGCCTATAGCTACAATTACTTATATTTATCATGTAATGAGAATATTATGCGGTGGAATATGAATTTAAATATGGTTATTATTTGATCTTATGATATAATTATCTTCATATTATTTCGGCCTTACAAACAAAGATTTTGTAATGTTTGGCCAAGTACATTATTTACCTATATATTATTTAACATTATGGAATAATTATCGCTTTATTTTAAATATTAGTCAGTAATCATTGTCCCCATTTATATCCCCAGGGTGCGCGGGCATGTTTCCTGCGGAACATCCCATTCTCGACCGTATATAAAATAATAATAATCACCTTGTTTTAAATATAAATCAGTAATCATTGTCATTAATGTACCACCAGGGTGCGCGGGCATGTTTCCTGCGGGACATCCCCTTCTCTGCGATATATTTCCCAGTGTACGCGCACAGCAAAACTCTCCTCGCCGACGAGAACGGCTACAACTCTCCACTTACCCTCCTCGTGGCCGGGGCTATAGGTATCATTATGATTAATATTGATAATTAATGTATTAATTATTTAAAATGATGATAATTGTAATAATAATATTGCATGGCTACAACTCTCCCCTCACCCTGCTCGTGGCCGGGTCTATAGGTCTGCTCACTATCAATAAAAATAATTGTAATTGTATTGTTACCTGCTAAAATTCTCTCTAGTTTAGTCACTATTATTATGAATATCGACAAATATTTTTTTACGTTCCTCCGTTTGTACATACATTTAGGTAATTATATTTCTCTATTGCTGTCATATTGCAGTCCATGTTTTGATTATTTTTCAATAACTTTTTAATTCTTTAGTTCTTATTCCACGTATTTATACAATTCCAATAGGCTGTTTCTTTCTTTATTTATTCCTCCTATGAGATCTTTATTATCATGTCAATTATTTCTAGCTTTCCCTAATGCGATGCAAAAGTTTATTGAATGCATTTCTTGAGACTTCAATGCTGACACGAGACTTGACTGCACTTATGCACTTCAGCATTATTGTAGGAAATAGGTGTGCGGATTTCACTTACTATATTATCCTTGTTTATTATTTGCACCTTATCCTTGCTAAATCCAGAAATTTATTCAATATATATTTCGTTGTATGGAGGTAATTTAATTTTATAAATTTACTCACTACCGAAAAACTCTCAATTGACAAGGTCACGAAATATCGGGTGAACAACGAGTTTCCTGTGAGTACAAGAACGGCCATTAGCTGATGATGACAGACGTGACATGAATGGTCGCTTTATTTATGTCCAAACTTCCTCCGGTTATCTCCGTATCATCGCAATCATCGTCAAATATACGCAATTATCACCTAAGGCTATACAATCCTCTCCCAACGCCGTGCAATCTTACCCCGACGCAACGCAATTTTTCCTATCATTTTCCGCACAATTCTCACTAAACCTCGAATTCTTCAACCTCTCAATGTTCACCAAACGTCAGGAAATTCTATCCCAACCCCAGCCAATCCTTCCCCAAACTTTCTGCAATGCCCATCCAACACCACTCAGTTCTCCCCCAACACCACTCCATACCCCAACACCACCCAATACTCCCCGCAACACCACTCCATACTCCCCCCAACACCACCCAATTCTCCCCCAACACCACTCCATACACCCCGCAACACCCCGTTTATCACGGTACAGGCGGTGTGCCGGCAGCGTCCCTCACTACCCCAGCAGACGTGATCAAGACTCGCCTGCAGGTGGCGGCGCGGGCGGGGCAGACGACGTACACGGGCGTCATAGACGCCGCGCGTAAGATCATGCGGGAGGAAGGCTTCAAGGCCTTCTGGAAGGGCGCTCCTGGTGGGTAAAAAATTTTCCCATTTTATACTTGCTTTTCGCTGGGGAATTTTGAGTTTGCGAATTTTGAGTTTATGAATTCTGAGTTTATTAAGTTTGAGTTTACGAATTTTTACTTTATGAAATTTGAGTTTATGAATTTTGAGTTATTTTGAGTTTATGAATTGGAGTGAGTCTTGAATTAGAGTGAGTCATGAATTGGAGTGAGTCATGAATTGAAGTGAGTCATGAATTGAAGTGAGTCATGAATCGGAGTGAGTCATGAATCGGAGTGAGTCATGAATCGGAGTGAGTCATGAATCGGAGTGAGTCATGAATCGGAGTGAATCATGAATTTAAATAAATTCTGTGAACCTGAAAAAAGTGCCATTGGTGGGTACCATTGCTCAATTTACAGTCTGATTTTGACTGATTAATCAGACTGTAAATTCACTGACCTAATCAAATTGAATTTTCTGAATCGTGGAATTTTGATTTTCTGTATGGAATTGAATTTTAGAGAATTGGTGAATTTGGGTTATCTGAATTGAATTGAAAAAAGTGCTCCTTGTGGGTATATTTGCTCGATTTTACGGTAAGATTTCTCGGTAATTATTATGATTTACTTAATTAAATTACATTAATTTCGAAAGACACCGTCGGTGGGTTCAATCGCGGAATATTCATCACGATTTTCAGAGTCTGATTTTCGCTCAATAATTCAGATGTTTGTCCAATAGTTCTGATTTTCGTCTAAAAATTCAGATGTTCATTCAATAAATTTTCGTTTGAGGAACGAAAACAATCTAATTAGAGCTCGGAGTTTTAGGCTGTTTGCTTTGAACATTTTAAAGCTCTATTTGATCTTTAGATTGTTTCTTCCTCGAATTTAATCGTAGCGATAAAGAAAAAGGAAGAANGCTGCTGCACCACTCAAGGTCAACGGTAGCAAAGCTGCCAAAGGCCGCTTTCTTCCTTTTTCTTTATCGCTACGATTAAATTCGAGGAAGAAACAATCTAAAGATCAAATAGAGCTTTAAAATGTTCAAAGCAAACAGCCTAAAACGGAGTTTGCTCTAATTTTCATATATTTATCCAAGAATTCTGGTTTTCAATCATTGATTCCGATTTTTGCTGCAGAATTCTGATTTTTGATCAATAGAATTCTTTGCTTCTGAGCCTCATCGTTATTGAAAATATTTGTGTGTTTTTCGTTTGATTGCAGGTGTGCAGAATTTTTCTTTTAATTGTGTTCTTTCTTTGCGGCCATTCATGCTTCATTTAATTCCTTCCTGCCATTTTGACTCTTGATTAGTTCATACAGCGAACTTCTACTTTCTGTATCCAAATCGTGCTTTGCTTTGTCGAATTTTCTCCTAGAACTCGTCATTTCAACCTATTTCTGCTCGAAAAAATAGTTATAATTAAATCCAAATAACATGCTTTCATTGTGTGCAAGCCATCCCACTCCTATGAGAGATACAACTGTTTGGTGCCGATCAAATACATAGTCTTTCGCTGAGAAGACAATAGTGAATATCCTGTTAGTGTTTGTATTCGTCGCTCTTATCCAGTAATATCCAGGAATGAAAGTTAAACAGTAGAAATTATCTCACAATTTTGAACGCGTTTACCTGCAAATAGTTCTTGTAGAAATAAGAGTATGAGACTGACATCGGTACCCGGAACGCCATTCTCAGAGAAATAGGTGAGAATTGGTCCTAATATTGATGCATTCTTTGTCGTTCCGATGCACTTTTAGTCACTCGCACGGCTAAAAGGCGTACGTTACTATCGAAACAACGTGACGCATTCTTATTGTGTGCTTTATGCAAGCCGTGCTTTGGACGAGATACCACCGGTTTAGTTTCATTGACGAAGTATTTGAAATAACTGTAAAATTAGTAATTCAACAGTAGTTAACATGACACAAATTTAGTCAGTAAAATGCGCGGTGCAACTGAAACCCGATATTTAAAGAAAAAAACTTCGTTACTGGTAGCAAGCGACGTGTAATAATCACAGCTATAGTCCTGTTCAAATTCTCATCTTGCATATTCCTTTAGTTAACCCTCTACCGCCATATGTCACTCTCCGGGAACATAACTTTCAACTTAAATTATACGTAAACTATTGAGTGTAGCAACCTGAGGACGTTTGTATGCAACAGAACATTTTAAAGTCGTCGTACGTGGCGGCAACCATCAGTGCAAGTCATTTTGCGCTCACTAGAACGTATCCTTTATGTGGAAGTAGACTTGTGACAATATTGCTCCGGTTACTCATGTCAGGCGGTAAAGGGTTAACAAGTCAATATCATCCATTTTATTCCTACAAATTACACATTTCTGGGCACTAGCAAAGAACTTCCCTTGTTTGCAGGGCGCGGCCCTATGGTGTTTGTGGGCACGTTTCTGCTGCCTACTCATGTAACGTAAACTACTGAACTACCTCATGCATTATTCCTCCTCGCAAATGCCGTTGAAACAACGTTATTTTTTAGTTAATTTCGTCTGTTCGATGTTAATTCAACGTCAGATGCCTGGTGGCCTGGCGAATGGCGTTGAAACAACGTTAATTTCGTATCGATTTTATTCAAGCAACGTTAATTCAACGTTTGGTGCCTGGTGAAATAAGGCCTTTGCTAGTAGACCAGTTCACCGTACTAACCCTTACAGTCCTGAGTGACTCACGACCAGCTTCTCTCATCGGCGACATTTCCATTCCTTATTGTTCCTTATAATTATTGGACTGTTATTATTCAACGTTTTTTATGTCCAACTGTTTTAACATCAAATTCTGTTAAAATACTCGTGTGTAAGATGAAATTTCACTCGAAACGTTCTTCAGCGTGATGTAATTATATTTTTTCGACACTCGATTCGATTTTAAAATTTAGTTTTAATATTCCATGAAACATTTTCTAATCTTGATATGTAATTATGCCTTTAATCGAACAGCATAACTTGGGAGCATAATTTTCGCTCCACTCTCATCACTCTGAAGGCAGCAGAATCTCTACCTCGACTTCCGACAAAACGATGCACCAAGAGAAATTAATGAGACTTTGTCCTACTAACTATGCACTTTTGCCCCTATGTATGTCATCTTGACCCAGTTTAGACCAGAAAAAGCACGCATCAGTGCTACACGCAGTAAATGTCTCGCTATATTTGGACAATATTACTCATTTCATGTTTCTGATTGTGGGCTTTCCATAATTCTCTATTGACAGTAAATGCATCCAAACTGCTGCTCTAACCGTTCGTGATGTGAAATCATGACTTTCCCAACTCCGTTTTCACCCTTTTAATTAATATAATTTTAATTTTTATTATTTTAATAAATTTAATTGAATATTCCTACAGTCCACTTTTAAGCTTCATGTGTGCAGAGTGGTTCATTTATTGACAATTTTCAATGCGCGCGTTTATTTTTTTCTGTCCCTGTTATTTACGTTCTTATGAATTTTTTACATTTTTTATTGAGTGAATTGTCTGCATTTGTTATAATTATTCGATGATTCCATGTTGAAATGTTAGAATAATTTTGGATCGTGAACCTGAATTTAAAATTTGCGAGTGTAAGCCTGAGGATTCTTGATCGGCCTTCATAGCGATGCTATGTAATGTGAGCGTGTCCATGTGATGTGATGCTTCATGTGATGATTATTATGCTCATTAATGTCAACTCAATCATTGCTCATACGCCACCACATCACACCACCATCACGGCATGTCACCACACTATACTAGCTTAATTGACTACCAAACCACCACATCACACCACCGACACTCGCCAAAAACTACCACTCATCACACACCACCCTCATCACACACCACCGACACTCATCACACACCACCCCTCATCACACACCACCCTCATCACACACCACCGACACTCATCACACACCACCCCTCATCACACACCACCCTCATCACACACCACCGACACTCATCACACACCACCCCTCATCACACACCACCCTCATCACACACCACCGACACTCATCACACACCACCCCTCATCACACACCACCCTCATCACACACCACCCTCATCACACACCACCCTCATCACACACCACCC